TCTTCCCTCAGCTTCCTGAGTAGCTGGGCTACTTGACTGTTCCTTGCTTTCAGTTATGCTTTTCAAAATTTGTAGTCATGTCATCAAGGTTGTTGTTTCCACAGCAGTTCATTGAGAAGGATCCCTGTTGGGGCCCATGAAAATGGCTTCGCTTCATCTTGGCTTAAGGTCAGAGAGTTCAAAACTATCCTTACTCTTCTAAGGTTACAGTCCTAAGACCTAAAGGTTTAAGGCATGGCTACTGTAGGATGTTTGGTCTTGGTCATGGATGTCTTATCCAAATAACAAGAGACCTGTTATTAGATTACCCTCAAGGCCAGATAGCAAGAGATTTAGTCTAAGGCATGGTTACCAAATGTTTGGAGAATTAAGGAAGAAGTTCTGTTTGTTCTTTGTATCATGATAAAGAAGTCTTTTGTCATTTCCCCCTTTTTTGGTCGGGGTATTTAAGAACGTTGAAGAATAAACTTGGGATATTCAGTATTCACTGGATTGTCTCCTGTCTCTATTCTGTGTCTCTGTCTTTTCCTTAGTATCTTTACCTGCCATTTCTCAGTCCACACGCCCCCCTCTCTCAGGCACGAACACGGGTTAATATGGACTGTGGCCCCACAAAGTCGGGTTCCTACAGATTGGAGTCACAAAGTGGGGCTACCATGGATGATTACTACAGTTCCCAGTGAGTTCCTTCATGGGGCCATGGCCCATGGAGAGATCTGCCTGCTATGAGAAGGGTGCAGCCCATGGGTGTCATGCCCTGTGTTTATGTCCTCAGAGGGTTTCATGCAAGGGTTGTCGTTTAACTCTACTGTCTGTTATTTGAATTGGGCAAAGAACAGCTTTCTTATGAGCTGGGAATAAATTCCTGCTTCCCAGGCGATCCATGGCTTCACACATTGTCATCAGCCTGCTTTTAGGTAGTTTGTGACAGTTCTGGACTTTCTTGTTTAAAAAAAAAAAGTGTTCTTCTTGGGTTAGAGAGATAGCTCAGCAGTTACAAGCACTGGCTTCTCTTTCAGAATACCTGAGTTCAATTCCCAGCAACCACTTGGTGGCTCACAACCATCTGCAATGAGATCTGGTGCCCTCTTTCGGTGTGTAGGCATACATGCAGACAGAACACTGTACACATAAATAAATCTTTAAAAATGTTCTCTGCGGAATATATATTATGGATGATGGCTATTATAGTCATTCCACACAGCATGCAAAGAGTGTATAGACCATCTGGTGAACCCAGAGCACCACAAAATGCATTTCTGTTTTGTTTTTTGGTGGTGCTGTATATGAACCCAGCACCTTGAACATGCTAGGCAAGTATTGAGCCACACTCCCCCAGCCCAATATTACTGTTTTGCCTATAATTTCTATGTTTTTTACAGAAAAGGTTTAAGGATTTCGATTCTAATATAATCATGACTTGGACCTGGGAGTATATTTATATAGACCAGTGTGCATTATAGATAATTTTATAACACACACACAAATGCCCACGCTGGTCTTGGGCTCCAGTGAGTGATTTGTATCCCAACTGAGTGGGACCGTAAGTGTATCTACCTGTGGTGCTTTGAATAAGACTGGTCCTCCATAGGCGCATATATTTGAATACTTAGCCACTATGGAATGGGACTGTTTGAAAGGATTAGAAGGGTTAGGAGGTGTTGGGGAAGTCCTGTGTATATGTCAATAAAGCACTGTTGGCCAATAGGGAAGTAAGATAGGTGGGACTAGGAGTCGAGGACGACTCTGGTAGGAGAAACATAGGGAGTCAAGATGTAACCGACATAGGGATAAGAAGCCCAGAAACTTCTCCGGTAAGAGAAATACTTAGATTAACAATTATGGGATAAATACTTAAGTCAGAGCTAGCCAGTAAGAAACGAGCAAGGCCAACAGCTTCATAATTAATATAGCCTCTTGTGTGTTTATTGGTTCTGGAACCAGGCTGGTGGGAAGGCTTCTCTTTACAAGGAGGTGTGGCCTTGTTGGAAGAAATGTATCACGGAGGGTGGGCTCTGATGTTTCAAAAGCCCATAAGCCCAGAGTCAGTCCTTCCCTGCTTCTCTCTCTCACTTCCAACAGGATGTAAAGGTCTCACAACACCTATGTGCTACCATGCTTCCTGCCAGGATGCTAATGCCCTTAGCCTCTAAAACTGTAAGCCAATTAAATGTTTGTTTGTTTTCGAGACAGGCTTTGGAGCCTGTCCTGGCACTCACTCCATAGATCAGGCTAACCTGGAAATCAGAGATCCACCTGCCTTTGCCTCCCGAGTGTTGGGATTAAAGGCATGCACCACCACTACCTGGCTTAAATGCCTTCTTTTAAAAAAAGATTTATATTTATTTTATATATATTAGTGCTCTATCTGCATGTAAACCTTTATGCCCGAGGAGGGCATCAGATCCTGCTGTACATTGTTGTAAGCCACCATGTGGTTGCTGGGAATTGAACTCGCAACCTCTTAACTGCTAAGCCATCTCTCCAGCCTCTTAAATGCCTTTTTAAAGTGTAGAATTCTACCAACAATATGGAATGCTGCTGAGTTGTGGTGCCACACACCTTTAATCCCAGCACATGGGAGGCAGAGGCAGGTGATCTCTGTGAGTTTAAGGTCAGCCTGGCCTACAGACAGTAAAGGTTGTCTGGAAAACAACAACAAAAGAGTTGCTTTGGTCATGGTGTTGATTCAAAGCAATAGAACAGTGATTCAGACACCGCCACACCCAGCTATTGCCTTGGTAATACATGTATTTGTTTGGGTGACAACCACCTGCACAATCTTTATGGAACTGTACCTCTGTGAAGCCACATAAACTTGCAAATATATACATTTTGGTTAAAACTGAAAAGGGGGTCTGGGTCTGGTTATTACTCTTTCTTTTATGTTCAGAATAGAAGAGGCTGGGTGTGACAGCACATACCCATAATCCCAGCACTTAAGAGGTTGGGGCAGGAGGACTGAGAGTTCAAGACCAGCCTAGGTTAGAGAGGTTTGTTGTTATAAGATTTATTCCTTACATTTTACATGAATGTGTCTGTATCAGAGTACATGTACATTAAGATTTATTCCTTACATTTTACATGTATGTGTCTGTATCAGAGTAAATGTACATGTTTTATTCCTTACATTTTACATGTATGTGTATGTATCAGAGTACATGTACATAAGTTTTATTCCTTATATTTGACATATATGTGTACATATCAGAGTACATATACACCATGTGCATGCGGCCGCTGCTGAGCCCAGATCCCCTGGAACTGAAGTTATAGCCATTTGTGAGGAGCCTGATATCAGTGCAGGAAAACAAACCCGGGACCTATATACCAGGAGAATGTGCTCTTTACATCTAAGCCATCTCTCCATAGGCTAGAGAATTCTAGGCCAGCCTACTACACAGTAACTAGGTTCTCTCTCACCCCCAAAGAACCCCAGAACAAAATATCCCAAACAAAATAGCAAAAAATTTAATTTTAAATTATGAAAATTCTCATTTTTATTGATTTAAAAACATGACTGTCCATATATACTCATGTGAAAATACATTAAAATACAGTTTTGCGACTTAATATGCTTTATATAAAAGTATAAGGTCATAGTAGTATTACAGTTAGTTGCTAAGGATTACCAATGTTTTGATTTTGTGATAGTTTTCATGAGAATTTCTAGTACAAAACTAAGATTCTTAGCTGGGTGGTGGTGGCACACACCTTTAATCCCAGCACTTGTGAAGCAAAGGCAGGTGAATCTCTGAGTTCTAGGCTACCCTGGTGTACAGAGCAAAGTTCCAGGATAGCCAGAGCCACACAGAAAAACCCTGTCTCAAAGAACCAAAACTAAAACCAAAACCAAAAAATATACCACCAAACAAACAAACAAACAAAACCAAAACACTAAGTTTCTTCTGTGCCTCCTTTGGTTTTTCAAGACAGGGTTTATGTAGCCTTAGCTATCCTAGAGCTTGCTCTGTAGACCAGGCTGACCTCAAACTTGAACAGATGTGCCTGCCTTTGCCTCCTGAGTGCTGGGATTAAAGGTGTGAGCCACCACTGCCTGTCCAAAACTAAGATTCTTAAAAAGCAAAATATGACTAGGTTTTTAAATAAGATAGATTTGGGGGACAAGAAAAAGCAGGTGTCTAGGAATGTACAGCCCAGTCCAATGCACATTTCTTTTGATTGTTTTGTTTTTGAGACCAGTCTGTCCTAGAACTTAGAGAGAGATCCTCCTGCCTGCTCCCCATGAACCATCACGTCTGGCTGGCTGCACATTTGCTTTTTGTTATTTTTGAGCCATGGTGTCACTATATATAGTCCAGACTGCCCTGAACTCAATATGTACCCCAGGCTAGCCTGCAACTTTGCTCTCAATGCCTCTGCCTGTGGTGAGAACACAGGCATGGGCTAATATGCCCAAGTGTTTACATCACAAAGCTTAAAAAAAATCTTAAAATTGCCTTTCAAAAAGCATTCTATATTCTATATAGTAGATGTGTGTGTGCATATTCATGTGTGTGTGTGTGTGTGTGTGTGTGTGTGCACTGTTAGAGATAAAATCTAGAGCTGCACACATTCTAGGTGCCTCTCTTTTTGATATTTAAAAAATGGTCAGAACTGGGGATGAGATCAGTGATAAGAGAAAGTGTTCACATGCATGAAAACTTTGGTTTTGATTCCCAAGAGCAGCCCCTAAACCAAATAAAACCCAAGTATTTTCCTCAACTCACTTAATTCTACCAAAACAATCCTAGTGCAATAGGTGGTGGGTGGGTGTTGACCAGGCCCTCTGATACTTCAAAGGTCTTGTTTTCATTAACCAGTGACTCCTCATCTGCACCTCCATGGAGTTTTATGTAGGCAGGCATTTGCCCTTCCATGTCTAAATACTTCCTACCCTACCCCCAAGTCAGATGAGCTTGTAAAAAAACACAGGAAATACGGAACTTGGAAAGCAAGCAGAAAACCTATACCCTCATCACAGACACACACATGCCTACTGGCAGTGTTGCACTGTGTTTATTTACCATCTTTTCTCCAAGAACACAAAACATTAGAATATACACACACATGTGGTTACACTATTTACAGAATTTTTAAATCTGTTGTGTTTTTCCCCTACTAAACAAAACTATCTTGAGTTGCTTTCTTTTCCCTTTGTGCATTCTCCCCTTCCATTAACTGACTACTTTTCTGAGAAAAGCTCTTACCCACATAGCTCAGGCTGGACTCTTGTCCCCATTTCTCAGTGTTAGGACTACTCGCCTGTGCCATCATCATACCTGGCCCATTCTTCACTTCCCGTCATATACACATACATACACGAACATGTGTATGTAGTTTTAGAAGATTTTATTCTTATGTGTATGAGTGCTTGCCTACATTTATACAAGGTCACCACATGTGCACCTGGTACCCAAAGGCCAGAAGAAGGTGTTGGATCCCTTGGAACTGGAGTTACAGACAATTGTGAGCCATCATGTGGGTTTTGGGAACCAAACCTGGGTCCTCTGCAAGAGAAGCAAGTGCTTTTAACCACCAAGTGATCTTTCCAGCCCTCCTCTTATGTTTTGGTTGCCAAAAGTCTTCGATTGAATGGATAACTATATAGGTCATAACATTTAAAATGCCTATCCCGCTTCTGACAATTTTCAGCATATAGCTCTATAGGCGCATGAGCTTTGTGGTTTCATAACCTCATGAAGCCATGATGCCTGGCATTTTGGTTCACATTTCAAGGGCCCATTCACAAGTGGAAGATCCCACGTGAAGTCACACATGGATAACTGTAGGTCTGCTCATGAAGTTCACAGGCTGAACTCCCACAAGCTGTAAAACAGAGTTTATGGGTTTGTGATCCAACCTATTCCTGTCTCGGTGCACAAAGTGGATGTTGTTACCTAGAAGAGAACAAGGACAAAAATGCTGAGGGCAAATGACACTAGCCTTTAGATTTACTGCTTACCAGGATCAAGGACACATTTCAATTCCTAATTAGTCCAAAGGGAAAAATTAATTACCTGGAGTCCATTATATTCCCTATGTAATGCCACCATAATTCTGCATCATGGCAATTAACCATGACAAGGCAGTGGTTGAATAAGAGTGTTACTTAACACGTTATGAGCTCCGAGGGGACAGCATCCTAAATTATACCCTTCTATTCAGTTTCATCAAGTATAATTAAATAAAACATCCAATCAGACAGGAAGAATCTGGGACTAACATAGGTATCAGCTAGGAAATTACATCTACTTCCTAAGCACATGTACTAATAAATCATTTGCTTCAAAAAATTCACTCCTGAGGCTAGGGGATGCAGTACTCCTGAGGATCTGGGTCATCCCTAGCACTGCCAAAATAAAAAAAGAGAAGGAAAGAAAAACACTGATCTCAGAGCATGTTTTATAACTAACCTAAGAGGTTGGAAGAGAAGGTGGTAAGCCAATTAGCACACTTGTACAACCAAATCCTGTCCACTCAATTAAGTTATAATTGTCTAAGTCCTGTTAGTTCCATCTTGAACTCAAAACAAGAATTTTTGTTTGAGACAGGATCTCTCTGGTATATAGCACTGGCTGGCCTGGAACTCATTATGTAGACCAGGCTGGCCTTGAAATCACGGAGACCCTACTGCCTCTGCCTCCAAAGTGCTGGGATTAAAGGTGTGAGCCACCATATAGCCAAAACCAGAATTTAACTTGAAACATTAGATCAAAGGATATGTTTTTGGCATTACGTCCACTGGCCACACCTATAGCAACAGGTTTAATTCTTCATCCCTGAAGACATGGCTATGGTGTGGCTCATAGGGAGTGGCATTATTTGAAGGGATTAGGACATGTGGCCTTGTTGGAGTAGCTGTGGTCTTATTGGAAGAATGTCAACAGGGGTGGGCTTTGAGGTTTCAGAAGCTCCAGCCAGCCAGTTGCTCTCTCTCTTCTGGCTGCCTGCCAAACCAGATGTAGAACTCCTAGCTAGCTCCCCAGCACCATGTCTGCTTGCATATCGCCACGCTTCCTGTCATGACATAATGGGCTAAACCTCTAAACTGTGAGTCAGCCCCAATGAAATGTTTTCCTTTATAAGAGTTGCCATGGTGAGCCAGGCGGTGGTGGTACACACTTTTAATCCCAGCACTCGGGCTGTCACACAGAAAACTCTGTCTTGGTCATATATCTACAGCAATGGGAACCCTAAGACAATGGCCAAGTGACTCGGTGACATGAGATGAGGAATGGGGTAAAAACAGGAGACCCTGTTTCAAAGGAGAGAAGGAAAGGAGCAGAAAGGACAGAGCTCTAAGCTGAGGATGTAGTGTGGACACATAGTCTTGCCCTAGTGCACTCAAAAACAAGCACCATACAAGCTTCCAAGTACTTCAGGAGCATTCTGGGTAGATGTATAAGACTCACATGGGCTCATTTATTTACTTATTTATTAGTGCTGAGCCCAGGAAGAAATCTACCTACCACTGACATACAACTCCAGCCCCAGAGGGCTTTTATCCCCGCTTCCAGATAGGGTTTCTCTGTGTAACAGTTCTGGCTACCCTGGAACTCACTCTATAGACCAAGCTGGCCTCAAACTCATTGAGATCCATCTGTCTCAGCCTTCCAGTGCTGGGATTGAAGGCATGCACCACCACCACCCCACCCAGGTTTTGTTTTTTTTTTTTTTTTAAAGATTTATTTACTTATTATGTATACAATGTTCTGTCTCCATATATTGCTGCACACCAGAAGAGGGCACCAGATCTCATTACAGATGGTCGTGAGCCACCATGTGGTTGCTGGGAATTGAACTCAGGACCTCAGCAAGAGCAGCCAATGCTCTTAACCTCTGAGCCATCTCTCCAGCCCCCGGTTTTTGGTTTTTTTAATCTGATCTAAGTTTGTGAGAGATGGGTACAAGTGTGCATGCTGTAAAAAACCAAAAGCAACTCAGTCAAAAGCAGTCCTTTCAGGCTGGAGAAGTGGCTCAGAGATTAAGAGCACTGACTGCTCATCCAGAGGTCCTGAGTTCAATTCCCAGCAACCACATGGTGGCTCACAACCATCTACAAGTCAATCTGGTGCCCTCTTCTGGCAGAACACTATATATGTAATAAATAAATAAATCTTTAAAAAAAAAAGCAGTCCGTTCAACAGTCTATTATTTACAGAAGTGTTAATAATAATAATAATCCACTAGCAGGTACAATTTTAAAGAGGCAGAAGAATGAAGAAAAATCTGCCTGTGCCACAGTGATTTTTTTTTTTTGTCTGCTATTGCAGAACTTGAATGTGGAGAAAGCCAGCTTCCCACACTGACCAGGGTGGAGTCAATGGCATCTCTGGCTCAGACACAGTCAGTGCAGTTGTTGAAGCCAGTGTCTTATGGCAGTTCTCACTTCAGAATGGGCTTTCCAACACTGTGTGGATCTCCTAGTTTAGTTGGTAAAAACAAAGATTCTTTCATTTGCAAAAGGAATTCAGCTATCCAAGCTTGAATAGCAAGCGTCTTTACCTGGGGAGCTATCTGGCTGGTGCCTATTGAACTTATATTTTGGCCGTTCTGTAACTTTATTACAGATTTTCATCCACATTAACTGTAGGGTTTTTTGTTGTTGTTGTTTAAGCTTTTTTATGTTATTTTTTATAGCCTTGGCTGTCCTGGAACTCTTTCTGTAGACTAGGATGGCCTTGAAATCAGAGCTCTACATGCCTCTGCCTCCCAAGTGCAGGGATTAGGTGAGTACCACCACCACTCTGCTTTTTTGTCTGTTTTTCTGTCTGTAGGTTTTTTTTAATGTGGTAAATAAGGACACAGGTTATCAAAGTGTAGAGCTTGTGTGTTGAATCCTCACCCTCACTGCATCTCCTTGACAAATGTACAGGGACTCACTCTGGGGCATTCCAATTCCTGTGGCCCAGACGGCTTTGTTGAGCCTGGTATCACTGTGCACACCCGGACTCCCCCCATTTCCTTCATGGGAAATTCCAGATTTCTCTGCGTGCCCAAGGAAAAATACGGGATACTTTCCAAATTTGCATGTCATCCTTTGTGCAGGGGCCATGTTAATCTTCTTTCTATTGTTCCAATTTCAGAATATGTGCTGCCAAAATGAGCACTGAACCCCTTTAAGATTTACTTTATTTTTAATTATGTGTACTTGTGTGTGTGAGGGTTGGAGGTTGTACACATGAGTGTAGGTGCCCAAGGAGGCTGGAAGAGGGAGTCAAATACCCAGGAGCTAAAGTTACAAGTGGCTGTGAGTCACCTGATACAGGTGCTCAGAACTGAACTTAGGTCCCCTGCAAGAGCAGCAGTGCTCATAAACACTGAGCGATCTCTTTGAGCCCTGTTGAACTTTCAGAGTGTAATTGTCAAGTATCAATCAGCATCTCACAGCTTACTTTCTGAGTCCCAAATCCCTGCCCTCATCCTAAGTGATGAGGACCCTCGTCACCATAGACATCAGTACACAGAAGCCTCTGAGAATGATAGATGCTCCTTACCAAAGCATGCCACCTCATTAGTCAGGCGTCTCATTTTCAGAGTCTATCACATGAGAAAAGTGGGTGGCTCTTAGGCTATAGCGGGCATTGAGACATAACCTGGCCTTGATGCTCACCTGGACCTAGAATGAGGGTTCCACCTTGCTGAGCTGGGTCTCCTTGGAAATCAAAAAGCGGGCCAGTGACTGCCCGCCACAGACTCTGAAGGCTTCCCGAGAGCAGGTTGGACTTTATGTGGGGGCTCTGTCCTGAAATATTGAAAATTGTCTTTAGGTGTTATCATTTTGTATTCCAATAAGATATGATGTCCAATAGTGGAGAGGGTGCTTGAACTGGCCTTCTCCTGTAATCTGATTGGTGACTACCCTAATTGTTATTAGAGAGCCTTCATCCAGTAACTGATGGAAGCAGATGCAGAGATCCACAGCCAAGCACTGGGCAGAGCTCTGGGAGTTCTGTTGAAGAGAGGAAGGATTGTATGAGCTGGGGGGGGTGTCAAGGTCATGACAGGGGAACCCACAGAGACATTTGACCTGAGCTGGTGATCTGAGCTCTAAACCAAGAGCTATGGAGCCTGCATGGGAATGACCAAGGCCCTCTGCATGTGTGTGACAGCTGTGTAGCTTGGTCTGTTTGTGGGTCCTCCAGCAGTGGGATCAAGACCTGATCCTGGCATGTAGCTGGCTTTTGGGAACTCATTCCCCATGCTGGTCCTGCCTCAACTTGATGTGTCATACTTTGTTGACTCTCATGGAAGGCCTGCCCCTTTTGAATGGAGACGAGGAGGAGTGGATGGGGGGGAGGGTAGAAGGGAGGTAGGAATAGGGAACAGGAGAGGAGGGAGGGGAAACAGTGATCAGTATGTGAAATAAATGCAAAAAATTTAAAGGATATGATGCCAGTTATTGTATAAAACATTCTTTTTTTAAAAAAATATTTATTTATTTGTTTATTTATTTATTTATTATGTATACAGTGTTCTGTCTAGTGTTTGCTTGCCAGATCTCATCATAGATGGTTGTGAATCACCATGTGGTTGTTGGGAATTGAACTCAGGACCTTTGGAACAGCAGCTAATGCTCTTAGCCTCAAAGCCATTTCTCCAGACCTTTTTTTCTTTCTTTCTTTCAGTTTTTCAAGACAGGGTTTCTCTATGTAGCTTTGGAGCCTATCCTGACACTCAATCTGTAGATCAGGCTGGCCTCGAACCTCAAACTCAGAGAGCTGCCTGCCTCTGCTACCAACACCCAGCCCCATATAAAACATTCATTAAAAAGAGATTTACTTTAAACTAGGTGATGGTGGATCATGCTTTTAATCTCAGTACTCAAGAGGCAGAGGCAGACAGATTTTTGTGAGTCCAGCCTAGCCTACAGATGGAGTTCCAGGACAGGCTCCAAAGTTACAGAGAAACCCTGTCTTGAAAAACAAAAGGATGTACTTTAAAGTACATGCGTAATCGTGCATATGCATGCTATGCCCACTGGATGCCAGAAGAGGGCACTGAGTCTCCAGGAGATGGAGTCACAGGTGGTTGTGAGTCACCCAAGATGAGTACTGGCAACCAAACTTGGGTCCTTTGCAAGAGCAGTATGAGCTCTCAATGGCTGAGTCATTGTCTCTCCAGCCCTAGAAACATTCTGTATTGGGCCCCATCTTCCTTCCCTTACTCTTCAATGGAAAGCACAACACTGAAATTTCCATTTATCCTGTTTCTTTCTTGAAACTATGGCTTAACTTGTTCTTTTCTAGAACATTGGCAACATCCTTGCTTTTTTTTTTTTTAAATATTTTATTTATTTATTGTGTATACAGCCTTCTGCCTGCAGGCCAGCAGAGGGCACCAGATCTCATTCAAGGTGGTTGTGAGCCACCATGTGGTTGCCAGGAATTGAACTCAGGACCTCTGGAAGAACAGTCAGTGCTCTTAACTGCTGAGCCATCTCTCCAGCCCCCAACATCCTTGCTTTCTACACCTGTGAATGCCAGGAACACTAATGACTGAGCTGACAACCAAAAATACCCCCAGCGAAGGACAAACATGCTGGGAGGGGGGTAATGTCTCTGCTGAGGACATTGTCTTAAAGGAAGAAGTCATGATGGACCTGGACCACCTACCACAGAGACCATCAATGACGACCTTCTCAGATTTGTACTGCTTCTATCTTAATTTCCCATATATACTTGCTTGGTCTCTTGCCCGCTTAGCAACAGGCAGTCATGCTCCTCTCCAGGACACACTTTGCACAGGCTGTTAAATGATGGTCAACACCTTTCTTCTTCCTGGGCCCATGACTAGGTTGTCCTTTCCAATTTCCGTCACGTTAGCCATGGTAATGTTCTAGCTAGTGAGTGAAGTGGTTGCTTCTGGGCCAAGCTCCCAAAACCTCCCTCCAAGTTCTTGGAGAGCTTGGACTGGAAATGACAGAGCCACGGGAGGGCAGGGTTTGGGCCTCGGCAGTGCTGCTCGATTGCTGTCACCTACTTCTGTCTTCTCAGTGACAGATGTGTCTGCTCTGTGACTAACACTCCTGCTTCTTCTGAGCCGAGAAACTCGGTCTCTGCTCATCTTTTTTTGTTTTGTTTTTCCAGACAGGGTTTCTCTGTATTGTTTTGGAGGCTGTCCTGGAACTCGCTCTTTGTAGACCAGGCTGGCCTCTGCCTCCCGAGTGCATGTGCCACCAATGCCCGGCTCTCTGCTCATCTTATAACTATTTTTTCTCTTATTCTTGCCTTGTTTATGCCTGACTTTAAGCTTTAAACTTTGATGACGGTACAGGAATAAAAGCACTGATTCAAAATTACTTTTGTCTACTGCAGATCAGTTTGACACCAGCTACATATAGGCGCCTTTATCTACATGCCAAGCAAGCAGCAACTCAGTGATGACAAAATTTACCTGAAGATAATGTCAGATCACACAGGTGGAAGGCTAAGTAAGTTTCAAGATGGGTCCCTACTTAGTACAAATGCTAACCACAAGCCTGGGTGGTTTAATTTTTAAAACTACTTATTTTATGTATATGGGTGTTATGTAGTGTGTCTGCACACCAGAAGACTGACTGGCTAAAAAAATGGGATTCCCATAAGCCCTTTTGGTATACAATGTATTTTTCTTGATGGTTAACTTTAATTGTCAATTTGACATTGTCTAGAATCATCTGGGAAGAGAATCTCAGGGAAGAACTTCTAGATTAAACTGACTTACAGACATGTTTGTGGGAAATTACCATGATTAGTGTACCCACTGTGGGAGGCACCATTCTTTCTCATGGATTATGTAACAGTAGGAAAGGGAGGCTGAGCATAAGCATGCATGCATTAACTCAAGGCTCTTTGCTCTTGACTGTAGATGTAATGTGACTGGCTGCTGGATGTTCCTACTGCTTCGACTTCCTGTAGTGATGGTCTATCATCTAGAATTGTGAGCCAAGTAAACCCTTTCTCCCTTAAATTGCATTTGGCAGGATGTTTTAATCGCAGCAACAGAAATGAAACTATGACATATGACATAATCACTAAATATTTAGCAAAAATTATAATGTTAGTGGTTTAACTTTATTTTACTTGCATGGGTACTTTGCCTGCATGTACATCTGTGCACCATGTGCATTCAGTGCCCACAGAGGACAGAACGGGCATCAAGTCCTCCAGAACCAGAGTTACAGATGGTTGTGAGGTACCGTATAGGTGCTGGGAATGAACCCATGTCCTCTGGAAAAGAAGTCAATATCTTAACCACTGAGCCATTTCCCCACCCTGAGTGGTTTAGACTTTGAGTATCTTAAAAATGACTCTGGAGTTATGCTTTCTTTACAAGGAAGAACCTTTCAAAGCATCTTATGAAGAGATGGCTCCGTTCCCAGCACCCCAAGTAGTTCACAATAGTCTGAAACTCTAGCTCCAAGGGATCCAATTCCCTCTTCTGGTCTCCAAAGACACTGCATATGGTACATACAGGTAAAATACTCATACACATAAAATAAAAATAAATCTTTAAAAATTACTTATAAAATCTTGCCAGGTGGCATGCACGTGCACCTTTAATCCCGGCACTTGGGAGGCAGAGGCAAGTGGATCTCTGTGAGTTTAAGGCCAACCTGGTCTACAGAGTGAGTTCCAGTATAGCTAGGGCTACACAAGGAAATCCTGTCTCCAAAAAAAGAAGCCAAAAATAAAACAAAAATTACTTTATAGAATCCAATATTTTCCATTAAAAAATGTGTGTATTTGCCAGGAAGTGGTGGTGAACTCCTTTAATTCCAGCACTTAGGCTGCAGAGGCAGGTGGATCTCTTGAGTTCGAGGTCAGCCTGGTCTACAGAGCTCCAGGGTAGCCAGGGATACAAAAAGGAGCTCTATCTCTAAAAACAAAAATAAACAAAAAAAGTGTGTATTTATTTGCTTATTCAGTGTGAGTGTGTGTATGTGTGTATGTGAGAGTGAGTGAACAGGTGTGCATCCATGATGTGTCATGAAGTGAATATGGAAGGTAGAGGAAAACTTGTGGGAACCAGTTCTCTCTACTATGTGGGTTCCAGGAATCAATTTCTTTACCCACTGAGACATCTTGCTGACCCCAAAACTATTATTTTCTGTTTGATAATATGATATTTTAACTTTAAACCCAAAGATACATACATTATATTATACAATTATGCATAGGCATATGTATTTATTTGGTATATCATATTTATATACTGTAGATTATATAAGCCTTAATATAAATCTATATGGTTGTAACACAATGCATATTATATAACAGTATCACAGACAAAACTATATAAAATGATACATACTGTATGATATATTTAAATAAAAGTAGAAAACAAGTTGCATACATTTTTTTTCATAATTACAAAGTACATTTGGTTTGGAATTCACTTATTTTCTTTACATTTCCTGTCTTTCTTGAGACAAGAAAGATAGTGTCACAAAAGTGAAACTTTTTTCTTTTTTTGCTTTTTTCAAGATAGGTTTCTCTGTGTAGCCTTAGCTGTCCTGGTACTTGCTCTGTAGACCAGGCTGACCTCCAACTCACAGAGATCCACCTGCCTCTGCCTCTTAGTGCAGGGATATATTTTTCTTTCTTTCTTTCTTTTCTTTTTCTTTTTTCTTTTTTTTTCAAGACAAAGTTTTTTGAGGCTGTTCTGGAACTCGCTCTGTAGACTGGCCTCAAACTCACAGAGATCCGCCTGCCTCTGCCTCCCAAGTGCTGGGGTTAAAGGTGTGCACCACCAACACCCAGCTATTTTTTTTTCAAGATAGGATTTTTCTGTGTAACAGCTCTGGCCGTCCTGGAACTTGCTTTTTAGACCATGCTGGACTTAAACTCTGCCTCTGCCTCCCAAGTGTTAGAATTAAAGGTGTGCAGGCTTAAAATCAGCAGTAAGATGGGGCATGTTGTCACATACTTTTACTCCCAGCACTACAAAGGCAGAGGCAAGAGGATATCTGTGAATTTGAGGCCAGCCTGGTGTACATAGCAAGTTCTAGGTCAGCCAGAGCTACATTGTAACTATCTCAAAATAATAATCATAATAAAATAAAGCCACCAGCAAAAGAACATGGCAATCAGGAGGAAAGGGGCTTGAGAGATTGCTCAAGGTTAAGAGCACTGGTTTCTATTCCAGAGGATCTGGCGCTGGATTCCCAACACCCACATGGTTATTCATAACCATCTATGGGATCTGATGCCTGATGGGATGGGTTTTTCTTATTGGATGATGAATAAAACACTGATTGGCTAGTATACAGACAGGAAGTATAGGCGGGGCTACCGGGGGAGGGGAATGCTGGGGAAAGGGCGCCAAGAGAAGCCATGCTGCCAAAGGAGTAATATGCCAGATTACGGGTAAGCCACAGCCTTGTGGCAATACACAGATTAATAGAAACGGGATAATAATTAAGAGAGCTAGCCAGTAAGAAGCATAAGCCATAGGCCAAACAGTTTAATAATTAATATAGTATCTGTGTGTTTATTTGGGGCTAAACAGCTGTGGGACCTGGTGGTACAAAAACTCCAGCTACAGATGCCCTCTTCCAGCTTCTATGGGCACCAGGCACCCATGTGACATCCGTGCAGGCAAAAAACTCATACACATTAATAATAATAATAACAACAACAACAATATTTTTACTATTATCATGGCACATTGGTCTCACAAGCAGTTCCCAGCCCCATCTCCAGTGAGGCCTCCTTGGCTTATTACATCTTTGTCACCATCACTGGCTTCAGCCTGGCCAGGTCTGGTTCCTCCTCCACATGTTCTGTGATTCCTTCACTAACTGCCACAAAACACCTGAGAATTCCCCAAGGGTAAATCCAAACTCTGAGGCAACCTGAATTCAGTGTGAACCAGCCCAGGCTACCCTATAACTCATTTCAGGTCAGCTAGAGGCAGGTGCCTACATGTCTTCGAGTGAGTGGCACTTCCTGACGCCTGTGGACATCTGCCTTTGTCTAGAGCACCCCTTCCCATCCTCACTCCGCCAGCAACTTCCATGGCCAGCTGGGACTTCACCTTCAAAGTCAACTACCTCTAGACTCTTCTCTTCCTTTTCTTTTTTTGGCTTTTTTGAGACATGGTTTCTCTGTATTGTTTTGGAGGCTGTCCTAGAACTCGATCTTTAGACCAGGCTGGCCTGGAACTCACAGATCCACCTGCCTCTGCCTCCTGAGTGCTGGAATTAAAGGCGTGCGTAACCAACGCCCGGCCGACTCTTCTCTTTCACACCATCAAAACAGGCACGTGTCCCTTCTGCATCCCCTCCATCACAAGCCTCTAAGCTGCACTGAGACCCCTGGAAGACAGAGGCTGTCCTTTATCACCTTCCCTCAAGAGCATCCAACACAGTGGGTATCACATTAAGGACGCAACAATTGTTGAGAATGACTGATTCTGACAAAGAATCTGGCTACAATCTGCATGGCTCCTGTTCACTACTCCTAGTCAGCTCTGCAGTGAAGGGAGGGCAGAGATATGATGCAGCAAAAAAGGGGATGTGAGCAAGTTCAAAGACACAGACAAAGCCAATGCAGAGAAGGAAGCTGTAACTGTTAAGGATGTCGGGGTCACTAAATAGAACCTCTGGCTCTTCACAGACAGAGGAAAGCTGCTTTGAGGGCAGGAACCTAAGACTAGAGCCTCAGACTTGTGAAAATGTAAGTCCACCTGAAAGAAGAGCTTGAACTGACCAGCACTACTGAGGGGTTCTCTGTCCAGAAACAACTTCTCAGGAAAGTGTTTGAGTCAAGACTCAGGTCATCATCACTGTTGTAGAAGAGGGGCCACTCTGAAATCTGAGCTGGCAGAACTCAGCAGCATCGCCTATGTGGTTTTGAGCAGAAGTTATGAGGTCATGACAGCTTGTATCAATGTCCCACAGAGCCACTGGGGCCAGGCAGTGTCACATTCCCTGCAAGTAGCTGTGACAGGCTACTGCATAGAGTTGTGAAGGTGAAACTTAAGTTGCACTGGGAATCCCAGGATATTAAAGATGCCAGGACATCTGCTAAACACATTTAATTAATACAAATAAATAAACAAGTTTTAGAAAAGCCTCAAGCATGGAGTGGAACCAGTTTAACAGAAAGGCAACATGTGCTAAAGACAGTAGAACCAGATGGGTGGGTTGCCTAAGTTGGAACACCAAGAGTTCCAGATTTGGGACAGGGAGTTGCAGGATTTGGTGTTAGTCCTACTGTATTTTGGTTTTTCCATTTTTGTCACCCTGACACAAACTTAGACTTAGTTGGGAAGAAGGAATCTTTTGTTTGTTTTGTTTGTCGAGACAGGGTTTCTCTGTGGCTTTGGAAGCTATACTGGAACTAGCTCTTGTAGACCAGGCTAGTCTCAAACTCACAGAGATCCGACTGCCTCTGCCTCCGGAGTGCTGGGATTAAAGGCATGAGCCGCCACCACCACCACCACCCGGCTGGGAAGAGGGAATCTTAATTGAGAAAATGCCTCCATAAGATTGGCCTGTAGGCAAATCTGTGGGGTATTTTCTTAATTAATGATTGATGTGATGGTCCTACCCCTGGGCAGGTGATCCTAGGCTATATAAGAGAGCAGGTTGAGCAAGTCATAGGGAACAAGTCAGTAGGCAGTGTTCCTCTAAGGCTTCTGCTTTACTTCCTGCCTCCAGTTCCCTGCTTTGAGTTCCTACCTTGACTTCCTTCAATGATGGACTGTGATGTAGAAGTATAGGATGAAATAAACCCTTTCCTCCCCACAAGTTACATTTGGTGACGGTGTTTTATCACCACAGTAGAAACCCTAACCAAGACACCTATTAGCTTTCTTTTCTTTCTTCCTAGAAGGGGAGTGTTTACTCTGCACCACTATATATTAAAAAATTAGTAAAATATGTAAGACTTTAAAAAATTATTTTACAGGGAGTTTACAGTTAAGAGCCTGAATCTCAGAAAAGCCTTTGGGCTTCTGAACAGTGTTGATCTCTTAAAATCCCTTTGCCAAGAATTTTTTAAAGATTTATTTTATTTTATTGTTATTATTATCATCTAAAAATAATATGAAAGTGTGTATATCTGTATGTGTGTGCGCTTGTGTGTGCAAGAGCCCTTGGATGCCAGAAGAAGGTGTCAGATTCCTCAGAACTGGAGTTATAAGGTTGTTGTGAGCCAATATATTGGTGGTTGGACCTGAACCTAGGTCCTCTGCAAAAGCAGCAAGTGCCCTTAACCACTGAGTTATCTCACCAGCCCCTTTGATACCTATTTTGTCACAGCAACAGGAAAAGTATCAAACACACCTTTGCTATGCACATATGCCCTAGTATGAGAATACACACGTGTTTGAAAGAATTGCACTGCATGCCAAACATCTTACCTGAGGAGGAAATTTCTTCACCTCTTTTCATTCCCAATCTTTTATAAATTTCTCTCTCAGGATCAACATAGATTTCATGAGAATATCCAGTCAGTTTGCAGAAAGGCTAAAAAGAGAATAATTAAGAAGAAATGAGAGAAAAGTACAGAGGCCCAACATACTCAATTTTTGTATCTGAAATATATTTGACATGGTGGCTCCTCAGTCTGCTAGATCGTTACCTCAATATGATGGTATGATGACTGTCCAATCACTATGAGGGTGACATCTGCTTCCTTTGGGAGAAAGAAGGACAAGAACATACTATTAGAAGCTATGTCTTAAGAACCTTCCCTAAAGCAATTCTTTTGTTTTCTTCTAATGCTACCTATAGGCTTCGAGAAGAATAGAAAACACCAAAATTGCATGAGTAGAAAGAAATGGATGGTTCAATATCTGAGTAATTCAGTTGATTTGTTTTCTCTAGTAAGAATTTCAAGACTTAAACATAAAACTTCTAGAAGAAAATACAGGAGGAAGCTCAGTATAACATTTGTGGGCAAGGATTTGGTTCAGTGAGTAGAGATACTGCCATGCCTGATGACCTGAGTTTCATCTCAGGGACCCACACAGTAGGAGAGAACTGACTCCCGTAAGCTGTCTGACCTCCTCCACACATGCACATACAAATCAATAAAGTATAGCAACAAAAGTAAACATACAAGGGTTGTGTTATTCTATATAGCAAAAGAAACAACAGAGAAAAGACACATCCATTGACTGGACTAAGAAAACCTATGCAAATTATGCGCTGTCTGGATTTGATCTCCAGCAATAAGGGGGCCAAGATTTAAATAATTCTCAAAGGACACAACACATAATCCAAATAGCCAGTAGCTATATGAAAAATTCTTGGGCTGGGGAGATGGTTCAGTAGGTAAAATGTTTGTATGAGGACTTGAGTTCTACCCCCAGAATCCATGCAAAAAAGCCAATGCAGCTGCATGTATTGTCATCCCAGCAATGGAGAGGTGGAGACAGGTGGATCCTGGGGCTCCCAATCTGCTCAGCCCATTCAAATCAGAGAGCTCCAGACCAAAGTGAGATATTATATAAGAAACAAGGTGACAGCACCTGAGGAACCCCCATGGTTGACCTCTGGCCTCCATGATCATGCATGCATGAATTTGTACACACACGCATACGAATTTGTACACTCTAAACACAAAAATATTGATCATCACTAATCATTAGAGAAATGGAAATGAAAACAGCAATGAAGTATCTCTTCACCCCAGGAGAGGTGCTACTAATCAAAAAGAGGAAAATATCTGTGAGGATATGGTGGTGATGAGAATAAATTAGCACAGCCTTTAGGAAAACAGTACACAGGCTCTTCAAAACATTAAAGACAGAACTACCACATGAACCAAAAAAAAATGCCATTATGGTTATACATAAAAGGGAAATGAAATGAGCATGCAAAGAGACCCCACACTTCCATGTGCTCTACAGCACTATCAGCAGCTAAGTACTCAACCCAAGTGTCTATCAGTGGATGAATGCATAAAGAAAAGTGTAGAAAAAGAGGGTTTTTTCGTCATTTGTTAAAACATGGAGGACATTATGCTAAGTGAAATAAGCCAGGAACAGAAAGACAAATACCAGACTATTCCACTTAGGATACATGTGGATTCAGTCTAACCCACGGAAGTAGAGAACAAAACAGTGGTTACCACGGACTGGGAGAAAAAGGGTTGGGGCATAAAGAAGATTGTTCACAGGGTACAATTTGAGTTAGACATGAGGAAGAGCCATCACTTCAGAATGATCCACTGTGACATAGTGACTAGTAGTAATATGCTGTCTATTTCAAAATCACCAAAAACATACATCTACTTTAAAAGTTCTTTGAATTTTGATAGCCTGGTGTGGTAGCACACGCCTTTATTCCTAGCGCTTGAGAGGCAGAGGCAGAGGCAAGCAGATCTCTATGAGTTCGAAGCCAGCCTGATCTACAGAGTTCCAGGACAGCCAGGCTACACAGAGAAACCCTGTCTTGAAAAAAAAAACCAAAAATAAATAAACAAAAAACCGCCACCAATGAAAACATCACACACACACAATGGAAATGCAATCAGCCATAAAGAATGAGGTAATGGTAACTGCAGGAAATGGGTGGAAATGGACATTATTATGCCAAATCAAATAAAGCCACACGAGACAAATATGGCATGTTTTTTTCTAACATGCAAAATCTAGGTTTGTTTCTTTTTTTTTTTTTTTTTTTTGGTTTTTTGAGACAGGGTTTCTCTGTATTGTTTTGGAGGCAAAATCTAGGTTTAAACTTATACGCATGTATTTATGCAGGGTGTGAAAACAGAAGGAGTCTGGGAGGATGAGGCCCAGGGGTAAGGGGAATGAGAGGGCAAAGGAATAGAAAGATAATGTATCTAGAAAGCAAAGGAGATCAACGTGGCTCTAGAGGAAGAGAGAAGCAAGAAGGGGTGGCAGCAAATAAGTGTCACAATAAGACCCATCTGTATGTTAAGTAAATCAATAGTGTCAATACATTAAAAATGTTAGGTTGAGGCCAGGCGGCGGTGGTGCACACCCTCAATCCCTGCACTTGGGAGGCAGAGGCAGGTGGATCTCTTGTGTGTTCGGGCCAGTCTGTTCTACTAGGGGGGGGGCGGGTTAGGTTGATGTAATACCTTTACATCGTAAAGATGTTTCAGACTATTAACTTGTAAACGAAAGGAATAGAAGGGCAGGCAGAACAGTTAAAAATTTTTCCCTCATACATCCTAATTGATAAACGTGTGCTGAAAATAGATCTTAGTTTGACAAACGCCCAAAGTCTTCCATTCACATCTTCCATATCCAAATCTGGGGACCCAAGAAAAACAGGGATGTGGAACCTGTTACTCATTGGCAAATAGAAACATGCATTTCTAAGATATGTCAACATTTTCCTATAATGAATAACTATTTGGGTTATAAGATCTAAGGACCAAAAACATCAGGCAGTTGGGCCTGTGTTTTGTTTTGATTTTGCATTCTTATGCAACATTTGGGTTTGGACACAGGCAGCTTACAGGTAACATAAACATTAGTACGTTTTCAGGAGGGCGCAAAAGAGAGCATTAGGTCTCTGCCCCTCTGGAGGATGGAGGCGGAGGGGACACCCACTCACAGCTCACCCCATCGCATTGGCCAGTGCCGCTCATTCGGGAAAACTTACTCGGAGGGCGCTCTTGGGGATTTTGGCCAGATCCTCGACGTATTCTTTACAGACGTAACACAAGAAATGCTGAAAGGCAACAATGCAGAAGAGCGCGTCAACAAGGCAGCAGCCGGGTTCCAGAAGGGTCAGGCGCTCGGTTCCGGGCGAAGTGCTGCACCCTCGCCGGCCCAGGAGCTGGGCGGCCTCCGGGAGGCCCTTCCCGTCCCGCCCTACCCGTGCTCACCCTCACGAACACCACCACGGCCCGCCGCTCCTGGAACAGCGCGCCGAACGTCACCCGTCTCCCGGACGCGTCCAGCACCGGCAGCTCCGCCACGTCAGCTGCCAGTGGCTGCCCACGTTCTGTGTTCGAACCGCTCGAGCTCAGGACCCGGCCTGCGCAGCCGCTGACCTGGCGCGTCACCGGCTCGGCCATAGCGGCGGGGACAGGGGGGTGCGACCGCTCAGGTCCGCCAGGGGCCGCGGGAGGTGGGGCCACGCGGGACGGGGAGGGACTGAGGTTCCAAAGCTGGGCCACACGGAATGAGGCGGGGCCACACAGTAGAAGGCGGAGTCACACGGGAGAAGAAGGGACGGGGCGGGGCTGAGGTTTGGAAGCCGGGACACACGGGAGGAGGCGGGGTAAGGCGGGACGGAGCGGGGTTGAGGCTCGGAAGCAGGGCCACACGGTAGAAGGCGGGACCACACGGTAGGAGGCGGAGTTACACGGAGGAGGCGGGGCTACGCGGGACGGGGCGGAGCCACGCGGGACGGGGAAGAACTAAGGTTCGGAAATCGGGCTACACGGGAGGAGGCGGGGTAAGGCGTGACGGGGCGGGGTTGAGGTTCAGAAGCAGGGCCACACGGTAGAAGTCGGAGTTACAGGAAGGAGGCGGGACGGGGCGGGGCCACGCGGGACGGGAAGGATCTGAGGTTCGGAAGCCGCACCACTCGGGAGAAGGTGGGGTAACGCGGGACGGGGCGGGGCTGAGGGTCGGCAGCCGGACCACACGGGAGGAGGCGGGGCTACGCGGCACGGGGCGGGGTTGAGGCTCGGAGGCTGGGCCACACTGTAGGAGGCGGGGCCACACGGGAGGCGGGGTCACGAGCGTGGAGAGGGGCTGGTCTTCAGGAGGAGGGACAGGACTGACACTTAGGAGGCGTGGCCACGGGGACGGGGCGGATCTTTCGCAGTTGGAATGCGTTAGTCCCTCTTTCTACTGCCTACTAACTTCCCAGATAAAAAGGGGCTGCAAAGATAGACCAGTGATCAAGAGCATTGGCTTTTCTTGTAGAGAGCCAGGATTCGGTTTCCAGCATCCACATAGCCCCTCACAACTGTAACTCCAGTTCCATGATATCTGATGCCCTATTCTGGCCTCCTTAGGCACCGTTTAGAGTGCCTACTGCTCTTGCAGAAAACGCCAAATTAGAATTTCCGTGCCCGCATCAGATGTTCACAACTGCGTGTAACTCCTGACACCTTCTTTGGGGACTCAGGCATCTGTACTCACGGAGAGAGAGGAGGAGGAGGAGGAGGCATGAGTGGGAGGGAGGGAATTAAAAATAGAACAGTTCATTTAAAATTTTAAAATTAATAGCCAGGCAGTGGTGGCACACTCCTTTAACCCCAGCACTCGGGAGGCAGAGGCAGGCAAATCTCTTGAGACCAGCCTGGTCTACAGAGTGAGTTCGAGGACACCCAGGGCTACGTAGAAAAAGACCTGTCTTGAAAAAGCAAATAAACACATAAAATTTAAGTTACATTTTATTTATTTTGTATTCACGAGTTGTCTGTGTGGGGGTATGAGCATGCCTACTCTTGTATGTGGAGATCAGAGGACTTTTGGGAGTTGGCTCTCTGCTTCTATCATGTGGGTCCCAAGGATTGAACTCAGATCATGAGGCTTGGTGGCAAATGTCTTTACCTACTGTGTGATTTCCCAGGCCCACCACCTGGCATTTGTTCACGTCCTTTCATTTCCCATTCTGTATTCCCTACCCCAAATGAACCACTTCAGCTGGCTGTGGGTCTTTACCTGATACAGCGACCAAAGTCATTTCCATTGACTTTAAATACATACACTCTGTGGGACAGCCGGTATTCCAGATACTCCTTACTTCACTGTGGAGTGGTCCTTAGTAATCAGGGCCAGTCATGGCAGAGAGAACAGTTACTCCCTGTTCTGCCTGTTGCTTCAAAGGAGACCACGGTAACCACAGAAACAAATGTGCTGATAAAATAAAGCACGCATGAATAGTGCATAAAAGAGAAGAATTCCTAATGCTGTTAAGTCTTCCATCCTAATTTCTCCATGAGCCCAGGCTGCATATGGGTTCTATTTGAGTCAACTTTGGATCTTGGTAACCAAGTTTGCTTTTTTTTTTTTTTTTTGCTTCAGTCAGTTCTGTGTTCTTCTGTTTCAAAAAACTATAGTTTGAGGCTTGAGAGATGGCTTAGCAGTTAAGGGTACTTACTGGCTGCTCTTCCAGAGGTCTTGAGTTTCTGTTCCCAGCAACCACTTTGTGGCTCACAATCACCTATAATGGGATCTGATGCCCTCTTCTGGCATAAAGTGTTCATACATGCAGACAGAGCACTCATACATAAATCTTTAAAACAAAACAAAATGTATTGCATTATTGCGTGTGTGTGTCTATGTAGAGATCAGAGGACAGCTTGTGGGAGTCAGCTCTGTCCTTCCATCACGTAGGGCTCAAGGGGTTGCAGGCTGGTGGTGAGGCCTGGCAACAGGTGACCTGAGCTATCTCCTGATAGCTATAGTCCATTGAGCTGTCTTGTCAGCCTTTTTAATAAAACACTTTAACTGTAAGAAACTGGATTCTGAGTGCAGGTGACTTTGCTGCAGTAATACTGAAGGAGACCTTGACCTGTATGTTATTCTCTATAACCCCAGCTCCTGAATCCAAGTTCTTCCCAAGGATAGCTGACATGTTAGGACAAAGTAAAACCACAGCTCACTGTTCAGAAGTCAAATAAAATATAATACCATATGAATGTATGTGAATTAATCTGGCATGGTAGAAAACATGAATCAGAATTCCTGTTATATTTCACATATCAGGGTGATTCGCTAAACGAAAAGATAAAAACCAGCATAGCATGAAGAACCAGTTTTATTTTTGTTTTAAGACAGGATTTCTTTGTGTTCTGGAACTTGCTCTGTAGACCAGGCTGGCCTCTAACTCACAGAGGTCCACCTGCCTCTGACTTCCAAGTGCTGGGATTAAAGGTATAGGCCACCACCTCCCATTAAAGAACCAGCTTTTACCTGCAGCTGTCAAGGTGTCTGAGCTGATAAAGACCCACATGGGAGGTGAAAAACAACTCCTGGAAATTGTCCTCCGACCTCTACACTTGTGCTGTGGCAGGTGTGCGCATAAGTAGTGTTTTACGGTGAACTTTGTTGGTGTTACTAGAGATATTCAATAGATGGCACTCTCTACATTTATATGTGAAAGATTTATTTGCACATTTGTTCATTTGCATTTTGCTTTGGGAAGCTCTTAACTAAAAATGGTCTCTTGGGGACCTAGTTCCTTATTTGTTAATCATCCTCATTTTGGAAAATGCAGTCAAATATATTCATCTAGACCTGGCAGCAAAATGGCAAAGAGTGTTGGTAGACTGTCCCTCCTGGACCCCTGGGCCTTGGCCACCCCAGCAGATTCTAGCAGTAAACCTTTCTTAGCAGACAGTGGACTCATTCAGTTACAGGAAGACCTCGCTCAGAACATTGATGTTCACCATGCTGAGCCATTGTTGTTCCTTAACAGCTTCTATGGGAAGTGCTCACAGCTGTGCGTGGGGGCATACTCCTGGGCAAGGGTTTGAACCGCCCCAGGAAACCTTCCTGAGAAAGGAGGTGGAAAATGAGAACCCCAAAATTCCAAGGCTCAGGGAGAATAAGTGAGAGTTGGCTCCATGTACAGCACAGATGTGCTCCCATGAATATTCTGGGATTTTGGAGACCAAATCTCCGGGGGTGGGGTTGGCTACTACTATTGCACTGGCATCCTTTTGTCCCAAGAAAGGAAGACCTGCCCAGCGGTAAGATAGAAAAAGCATGCCTGTTTTGCCCCTCCCCTACTTGTTAGGGTTGGACACTACCAGATAGAGCTGTCCAACAGGGGTTTCCCAGTTAGTGGGGCTGACATAGAGTTCTCTTTGGTAAGGGTGGCTCCAAGAAGAGGAGGAGTAGAGACCTCTAAAGTGTGAGATGGAAGTGAGAAAGCTGACCTATAGGTCAGAAAATCTCAACACATTTTCTTTCTTTCTTTTTCAAATACTTGGGCTAGTCTCGGTTTATAGGCACATCTGCGTTTCTACTGTCCTTACTTCCAGAACAAGACAGACAGCAGATTGGAGGAAGAGAACCTTCTTGAGATCATTACAAAGATGGTGATGTTCACGTTTAATTTTTTAGCTAGTATTAAAGAATGCATCATGGATTTGTTGAGCTGCACTGATGTGAAGAAACAGCTCAGTGGTTAAGAGCACTTGCTGCTCTTGTAGAGAACCTGGGATCAGTTCCCAGCACCCACATGGTGGCTCACAGCCACCTGTAACTCCAGTTCCAGGGGATCTGATGCCCTCTTCTGGCCACCACACCTGGCTATTATTTTTAATAATTTTTTAAAGATTTATTTATTATGTATACAGTATTCTGTCTGTCTGTATCCCTCTAGGCCAGAAGAGGGCACCAGATCTCATTACAGATGCTTGTGAGCCACCATGTGGTTGATGGGAATTGAACTCAGGGCCTCTGGAGGAACAGCTAGTTTGTACATTCATTTATTCATGTATATGTATATACATAAAACATGAGCATATATATATACATATATATATATATATGCTCCTGTCCCTGTCACAACTCATATGTGGCAGTCAAGAGGACAACTTATGGGAGTTAGTTCTCTCCTTTCACCTTCTGGGTATTGGGAATTGAACTTGGATTGTCAAGTTTGCATATTGCCTTTACCTGCTGAACCATCTTGTCAGTTGTCATATAAATTCTTACACTACATTCAGGTAAGAAAGTCACACTGTGCTGGGCAGTGGAGGCGCATGCCTTTGATCCCAGCACTCAGGATGGAGAGGCAGGCAGAGATCTCTGTGAGGAGCTAGTTCCAGGACAACCAGAGCTGTTACACAGAGAAACTCTGTCTCAAGAAACTAAAACCAAAGGGGGGAAAAAAAGTGACACTACATTGCATTAGCCCAAAGCACCCTATCCCAATGGTTCCATGTTTCTCTAAAGTACCTCTGGAAACCCTGCCCAAACCCAAACAGTTAAATCTAGGTGCTCACTGCTTTTACAAGAACTGGTGAAATGTTACTTGGGCACTTGTATCCAAAGAAACCATAAACATTTTAGTTCCTGCCCACCAGAATACTCATGTCAATGCTAATGGCCAATGGTTTCCCCTCAACACAGGGAAATTTGTTATTTTTTAAGAAGCTGTGGCTGGGTATAAGAAAGTGCCTGAGAAAGGCTGCTCATCATTCAACTAACTAAAACCAATCAACAAAATCTATCTCCAGCATTTCCGACTCATCCAAAGCCCTGTATCTGTTGTTACCATCTACATCATTATATGAAAAGGATATCCTGGCTGGGT